CTCTCTTATTTGTTTCCTTACTCGTTTCCTCTCTGCTCTGTGTAAACACAGCCTGCAGTTCAGCCGAATAATACCTGAATTGTTGTCACTAATGGCTTTACGATTGCGTTGAGAAGTGCAGAATTTTTTGTTTTGTACAGAATCTAGTTTGTGCAAATTGTTTATTTTTGGGGTAATTTTAAACGAGACACGAAAATATTGTAGTTTTAAGCTGATTTTTGGTAAAATGGAACCAAATATTGCACATGTTTTAGCAGTTTCTGGTTCTGATAATGCTACACATTTATCGATTTAGTAATTTTTGGGGTTTTGAGGGTTGAATAACTTTAAGAAACAGGTGTTATTCAACTAATCTCCTTTTGTATAACAAGAGATGAAAGTTCTCACGTGTTAAATGTCTCAACACAAGCAGCCAGACAAGAGCTAAGCCAAATATAATGCCGTGAAACATCTAAGTCAGAAAGTTTTCAAATCAAAAAACTGGTTAACAGGATTCCAAATCTGAGCAGAATTTTCTGTTTTCTGGTATTTAAACAACATTCCTCAGTCAGCTCTTAAAGAAGTTTGATACCCTACGTGTATCGCGTTCTTTCATTTAAACGCTGCAGGATGACGGGTATCCGGTGATTTCCTGACAAAGTGAGCACTTGATTTTTTGGGGGGAAACAGTTTGGCAGGTTTCATGCCACGTTCTACCCATCATGCATCAGGATCGTGTCATGCACACGAACACACAACGTGACCCTACAGTCGTGTTTCGGGGAAAAACCTCCACGTTACGTTCTGCAGAATCTCTCACAAGCTCCAACACGTTTTTGGTGCACTTTAGTTTTTCTGCTCACATGTGTAAACAGAATAAGTTGTGCCGTGACCTTTTCAAAGAAATGAATTGTGCTATTGAACACGCAGCAAAGGATCTAGTGTGAAAGCTTAAAGAGTGTCTTGTTTTTGCTCTCTGGACTGGAGATGATGCTCATTATCAGCGTGTTTGACTTTTACTGTCTGTAAAAAGTTTATTCTTCTCTCCTTGTGATCCAGATGACTCATTTTAGTTCCTTTTTTTTTTATTTTTTTAAGTCGTCCATTTGTACAACCAACCAAACAAACCAAACCGAAAAACCCCAAACCTTAAAATGTCCGGAGGAGGAAAAGGGGCGTCGGCACCGTTTTCCCAAACAAACCTTGTGTGTTTGTGTCTGGGAGTTAATTTTGGATCAGTTCGGTCGTCCTGCATCAGCGTCTGCGGCTGAACGTCTCTGTTCTGACTGACCGTCGCTGTGTTTGTCTTCGTTCCCTCTCCGCAGGACAACATGCCTCAGACTCCACCGTTCACGGGGCAGCTGAACACCAGCAGCTACAACAAGAACCTGTACCAGAGCAAGGACGAGGGCTACCCCGGCCTCTACTACCATGACAACAACCTGGCGTCCGGCTCCCTGGAGGCCCTCATCCACCACCTGGTCCCGACCGTGGACTACTATCCAGACGTGAGTGTTGTTTTTATCACGTTTTGTTCCTCTGTGGTTTCTTTCTCTTTTGCAGTTTTCATCAAAGTTTCTTTCTTCTTGTTCTGTCTGAGGAGCTCTGCGGCGCTGAGATGCCGCTCGGCGCCAAAGTCTCTTTCATTTACTTTTTCTATCTTTTGATTTTTCATCATGCATCTGTTTCTATTCCAAACATCAGGGACTGAAAGCTTTCTCTCCACCTCTTTGCTATTTTCTGTGTATATTCTGTTTTATCAAGTGCAATTCCCTTTAGAGAGTCCTGATTTCATAAGCTTTGGAAGTCTGTTTTCAAACTGTAACGATCAGTTAGTAAATCACGATTTTCCTTTAATGCTAAACTTGTTTTTTTTTTTGTCTCCGCAGAGAACGTACATCTTCACCTTCCTGCTCAGTTCTCGTCTCTTCATCCACCCGTATGAACTCATGTCCAAAGTGTGTCACCTGTGCATGGAGCAGCAGCGACTTGGCGATCCGCAAGCTGACAAGGTGGGTTGAGTGGGAAAAATAAATCCACTTTCAGGTTTCAAATCGGCTCCTTTTAACCCTCTGAACTCTGAGCAGTTTGTGGGTGTTTTGTGCTCACTGTGGATTCTTTTAACTGCAATATAAAGTGATGTACCTCAATGAAAACAGAACAACCATGACTAGAAGTTGAGAGAACTCAAAAAATATCTTTTGTGCAGTATTACATGGTTATAATGCCAAAAATCCTCCAAAAAGGAGAAAAAAAAAAGTTGAATTTCTGCTATTATTTATTTTATAAATATTGAAAAAAAACCTGGAATCAGCCTGGACCACAATTTTCCAAAAACCTCAAGTTGTTGCCAGCATTGAAAATAAAAATGGTGGCTCTATAATATTATGATATTTTACTACCGACTTTTTACATTTGTTTTCATACTTTCCTCCCATCTGCTCTGTGTAAACACAGCCTGCAGTTCAACCGAAAAAGTCCCTGAATTTTTGTCACATGACTGTTGGTCACAGCTGAGTCAGATGTGTCTTCACGGTTGCACAGATGAGCACAGAATTTTTAGTTTTTTACAGAATCTACTTACTTTGTATCGTTTATTTGTGGGGAATTTTTAAATAAGAATACAGTGGGTTTTGCTGAAATATCCCAACAGGTTACAGATGAGTAGTTTGAGGACAATCAGGAAGTGAAAAGTCTAGTGATGCCGTCTATTTTGATCATTCCCAGCTTTAATAAATGATGTAATATTAAAAAAATAATCATACTTTGGTGGTTCAGAGGGCTCAGAAATTGCATGAATGAGACACTTGAACTTTGTCCACCCTTTTTGAGAACTGTTTACTCACTTCTTTTTCAATTTTATTTTCAGATGAGAGTCAGGAAAATTGCCCCCAAGATCCTCCAGCTGCTGACGGAGTGGACGGAAACCTTCCCGTACGACTTCAGGGATGAGAGGATGATGCGCAGCCTGAAGGAGCTCACCCACCGGCTCTCCAGCGGAGACGAGGTCAGCCCACGCCTTTTTTTTTTTCCCCCCCCCCTATTTTTTAATTCCATCCTTTCACTCATCGTAACCTACAACAACAAAGGTCGTACTGATTAGATAGCATGTTTAGTTTAGGTGTTATCGCCCCCCCAGTTGTGCAGCAAAGCCACAGGCGCAGGCAGATTTTGTGCAGATAGCGGCGCAGGGAGGTGGAGTCGGGTGTCTCTGGCAACAAAGCGCTTTTTGAGGCCGGCTGGGTGGAGAGAAAAGCGCCTTTGTTCGCCGGCTAGGTGGGTTTTTTGTCATCCCTGGTGCGCTCCTTCCTCAGCAGCATTTAGATTGTTTCCACGGCGGCAGAGCTGATCGTCAGCGGCTTAGTGCGCCCATGGCTTCTGCTGCAAAAGTCTTTTTTTAGTGGCGTGCAACTGTTTCTGTTGTCTTTGGTGCCTCCACTTGTAGACTTTTAGATACATAAACTTTGGCAAACAATGACTCATTGCTGCGGGAAACGGTTACATAAGTTAACGAGAAAGTGCCAAGTTAATAGTGAAATTACCTGCGTGAATAGTTGTGGGAGCCGGATGAGTCAGATATGAGGGAGGCATCAGGCGTCGCTGCTCGGCAGGAAGGAGCGTTTTCTCCAGCTGCAGTGAGATGCAAATCCAGATCCTTTTTGCTGTTTTTGTGACAGTTTTTCGACAGATTTCTCCTTCAAAGAATCCCACCTGGTTAAAAAACACTTGAAAAAGCATCATCTCAGCTGGGGTGCTTCTGTTTAGGGAGTTTTCGCGAGCGGTTTCCATCTTTACCCACCAGAATTGAGCGTTTCAGTCTTTATATCAAATATTCTCACCCCTTTATATCACCAGTTGCAGCTTTTCTGCTTTAGTTTGGGCAAATAATTTGGTTAGTTATCATCAGTTAGGGTCTTTTTGGTGCATTTTCTGGTTGCTTCCTGGTTGTTTTGTTGGAGAAAAGTTGCGTCTCCATGTCAAATATGTGTGTTTTGGAGGTGGGTGGCTGCTGACGAGGACAAAACAGTGTTAAAAGACTCAAACCTCCATCTGTCCTGGCAGAAACTATCCCTCCTTCACTGCTCAAGACAAGAAAAACACAACCCACACACGCCCACATCCGTCTTCACGTGACTCATCAATAGCACAAGCAGGAGTATTGATCCTGATTTCATCTACGGATCAATACCCTCCCACATGACACTCGGGCACGTTTACGGCTCCCTCCTTCGTGTCGTTGACGCTCACAGTGTCGGCGGCGCGCAGACATCTTTTGATTTCACAGTAGATTGGCTGCAGCTGACATTAAAAAAAAACATTTCTGATAGTTGAAATTGATTCTGGCCTCGAGGAAACAGAAAGTACATTTAGCACAAGGTTCCCTGGTGCTTTCCCGTGAGGTAATATCGTGCTCGGTACATTTAACCTGCCGCTGTTGGGTAATAATGGAAGCTTCTGTTTCCTTTTTGTCAACTTGTTTTTACAGTATGTGATTGTTGTTCAGGTTTATTTCCGTGAAGCTGCAGATGGAGTAAAAAGCTTCATGAAGGGCCTTAAGGAGGTCATTAGATAAATTAATGTGGTATTGATTTGATTATTTTGATAATCAGTTTGAGGAGAAAAAAGGTCAAAATATCTGATTGCAGCATCTTAAATTTGAATATTTTACTCCTTTATAAGAGTAAACTGAATCTTATTGGGTTGTGAACAGACTTCTCTTTGAGAAACAGTGATTATTTCACCATTTCCTGGCGTTTTATGGACCATATAAGCAAAGTATTGTATCATTACTTGCAGCCCCTAATGTCACCCTGCCTTTGTTTTTCCATTTCTTTATTATCTAAGCCACTTACTGGAGGTGAAAAGTGAAAATAAAAGCACAGAGATAGTCATTTATCAGCCCTTATTATGAAATCTACGTGCAAGAGTGGACATGTCCAAGTGTGGGAGTGAAAGTTGTTCCGATAAGCAGATTGTGAAATAATTCCGACTTTTACTTTTGATTTCTCCTCAAAGTAAATCTTTTGCCAACAGCAATACGTCTGGTTTGTAAAATGATATGATGGATTCTTAACAGAAACACAGGTTTTTTTTTACCTTAAACTCATGAACTGTTCTTGATCATTCGCTTGCAAAACCTGTCTGAACAGAACTCTTGACATATGACCAGCAGAACAAAGGCCTTTCAGTGAAAACAGGTTACAGACTCCAGCTATATGGACCGGGCTGACATCTGGACGCCCTGCAGAGGAGCGGCGGCATCATGTGTGCTTGGTGTGACCTTTCATGTAAATCAGGGAAGCTCGAGTTCAACAACTGCCACAAGCAACTGTTGACAAAGCAAAGTTTGTTTGTCGGCGCGTCCGCAGATGAGAACCCGTGATAATCCGACCCGACTCGCTGCTCTGGGTGGTGCGGACGCCGTTTTCTGAGCAGAAATCCAGCTGCTTGAGTTCAAGGAAGCTGCTCTCGGACCACAGCGGGAGGTTTGAGCAGATCAAATTTACATGCATGTTCTTCAGAAACTGGAAAACAAACCCCGAGCGAGGTTTAGAGTAGCTGTGGATGCAGCTTCTTCCACCGCAGCGCTCTGCAAACGTCCAGAATAGCCGTCCTGAACATCTGGTCCGAGCCGAGCCAAGACCGCAGTCAGAGCTCTCCAGGACCTTGATCTGTGCAGCAGCACTGTCATTATGGATGTGGTTGGATATATGGGGAAGCAGAAACTCACCGCTCTGATCTTCATCTGACCTCGTTCAGCGCTGCGCACTCGTCGACTGGACTCAAACATGCAGTTCTGATTTTTCATTAAGTTTCTTTACGAGGAGTTTGGTTCGATTTTAATAGTTCCCACATTATTCGGTGCCTGGAAGACAGAACTTTGTTGTTTTTAATCTGCTTCTGTGGCAGGTGTTTCTGCAAAGAGTTGGACTCCCAGAACTAGACGATGTGTTTTTTTCAGGACCAATTATTAGTCATTAAGGAGGCCAATCGGTTCCAAACTTTGGAACTGGATACTTGCAGTAAAAACTCCAACACAAACTTCATTGAAATGTCTGTTTATTTATGTTTCATATATATTTAAACACAGGAGAACTTTTAATCCTGAGTGTTGATTGGCTATTACTTATAACATGTGACCAATCAGATCGAGCTGTGAGCGGGACAAAGTGGCGGCTGCAACAAAACCAAAAATCCTCATTTTTATGTTGAATAATTTGATTAGAAGTGGATTTAAAAGAAAACAAATGGTACAGATGGTCTGACATGACAGTCAGTTGACCCTTATCCACGAGTGATGTTCGTTGCGTAAACACAGAATATTTGCATAACTTGCACAAACCATGGGAGTGCTGACCAATTCATCAAAACATCACTGAAATCCCAATGTGGCCAGGGGCAATTTCCAAACCACTAGAGCTGCAAATTTTGGTAAAATTGCCACAATAAGCCATCTTAAACAAAACATTTTGGTTCTGCAGAGATGCTCCGGTCTATAAGTCACATTCTCCAGACATAACAAAAGGTGGCTGCTTGGTAAAGACTGCAGCAAAAAACATGGAAACAAAATGCAAAGCTGATCATTCTTACTAAGAGCTTAATTTTCTTCTTGTTGCACATCATGCAGCCAAAGTTTATGGCTGCAAAATGAATGTGGCAATGAAGAAAAGAATAGGATGGACTACAGCTCCATTGTTTATCAGCCTGGTTTTTAGCTGCATCCAACCTCCGCAACAGACAAATGAATAACAAAAACCATCAAAGAATGCAAGAAGATTGTAGAAAAAATTAAAACCAGACTTTAAAAATGGTATAAATCAACAATGTAAAGTAGTTTTGGACATCTAAAAAAGGCTTTCTGATAAATGGCAAAGAGGCGGGGTTGTGGTTTTTGTCTCCACAACTCTCAAAAAGACGTTTGCATTCAGAGACTTGTCAGGATTTAAAGTTGAATTGTAAGTTGCATAAGAACAAGTTATGCAACAGCGATAGGCTTGCAGAAAGCAGACAAGCCGATTCTGAAGACCTGTGAGTCGACCTGAACCAGCTAAATTGCTCGACCGGGTCACAGATTAATGCTAAACACTCGGGAGATCGCGGTCGAGAGGTGTTGCTGCCGCATCGTGACTTGGCGCCAGATTCCTAATCCGGCCCAGTGCACCTTTTTACTATCTGTTCATTAGTGCCGGTCGGCCGAGCAGCTAAAAACAGTTCGGCCCCTGCTCGGGTCAGGTGGCGCTCTGCGGGGAAACTGCTGCGCTCGGCCAAGAATAACAGGACCTCCGGTGATCCGATGGCACAAACCGAAGAAACTGAGCGGTCGTCTGCCACCTCCGGACCGGTGCCAGGCTCGGGCGGTGGCGTGGAACCCAGCGAGGCTCCCTCCATCCAAACGCCAATAGTTGCGATGAGCAAATGTGGCTCCCTCTGCTCAGAAATGTCAGGCATGCTGTTGTCTCCAAAGATCTGCGCCTATATTTATCCGACCCTGGCCCGTCCTCTGTTTGCGGCGGCGACAGAAGCTACGGCAGATGGTTGACTTTGAAGTGGCAACTGGAGCGATTTTCACTGGTGGCGAGTCGCGCTGTTGTCCGACTGTGCAGGAGCGCGGTCAAGATTCAGCCCAGCTTATACAGTGTTTGCACTGTTTGTACAGCGTCCGAATGAGGGTTGCATGTCGGCTAGATTCATTATTATTCATGCTGTTTGGATTTAACCCTTTACATCAAAAAAACGGTGTGTCACAACAATGTGGCTTTGTCAACACACCAGTTTGTGTTTGTAGAGTTTCTTACACTTTGCATCTCGGCTCTTGTTGAATCTTATATTGTTTTAAGTTTTCTCTTTTGGTTTTTTCTTGACTAAAAACTGGTTTATAGACATTTTTTTGACCCATCGATTCAGGGCCAATACAAAATTTTAGAAATCAAGGAGATTAATAACTGATATTTGCGGTAAAAATGAAAATCTGCTCGTCAAAATGTGAAAATCCAGTCGAAATTTGCTGAATTGCTGTTGTTTACTTATGTTTTACATATTTTATTTTATTTATTTTTTTAATATAGAGAACTTTTCAAGTGTTAATCAGCTGTTGCTCATGACCTCTAGCCAATCAGATCAATTGGTGGCGTCACTCAAGACAACAGATTGACGACTACAGTTTATAAATTGACTTATTTCGTCTGAAATTTGCTCGAAAATCCCAAACAAATACAGGTACTTGGAAAATTGCTGAATATTTGACCAAACATCACACGTTCTCATGTCTCTAAAGTGAAAACTATAATTATGATAATGAAGCAGCAGACTTAGAAACGAGTGCAACAGTTTTAAATTAACTTATTTCATCTGGAATCTGCTTAAAAACCAAAAGAAGAGACACTGATATTAGGGGAAAATGCTAAATATCATCATGCAAGCTATAGTTATGATAATAAGTTAATCTGTCACAAGGAAATACCAGAAATTTGTGTGAAAAATTACAATCTTTCTTTGTTTATCTCGACTCTCGTTCAACAAACCGTTTATGATTTGTCGCCTTGGGCTCTGGAAGCTTTTTGTGTTCGCATTTTGGCACATTTTTGACATTTTATTGACGAAGCTATCAATTGATTTTATTTGAAAAACCACAATCAATCATGAAAAATCTAATTAGCCGCATCCTTTAGCAGAATCGTTAACCGACTTTGTGCACTGGACTGGGGAAAAAGGGATCATTTAAATACGTTAATGTCTCTCTCTTTGTTGGTCTTCGTCCACTTGCTACATGAAACCATCATTTTTCTTTCTCACAATCACCTCTATCCAAAAGTACAATATCCAGAGAGCCACGATTGATTGGCTGAATGCGTATCATCACCCACAGGCATTAGTCACATCTTTGGGAGGAGAATTTTTAGAAAAAGTTCCAGCACCGCGATGGAAGTCTGCTCATTTTTCCCAACATCCTCCAGGCGAGGGTGTTCCTCCTCCACCCTGCTGAACCCAGTCCTGTTTGTAGAATCATATTCTGGAGGCTGAATTGGCAGCAGAAGGAGGAGAGATGTGGTGGTGAGGATTTTTTATTTATTTATTTTCTTCAGGCAGCTCATACTGGCGGTATGGACCGAAGCCACGAGCAGAATCCTCTCACAATAACACGGCCCACAAAATCAAACACACATGTACGTCTTGCCTCTATAGACCCTCTTATGCAACTTCCCTGCGCTAAAGTGTGTCAGTTATCTAAGCGTGGCCTGTTTTCAGGCTGAGCGAAGGTTCAAAACAGGCCGACCTCTCGACCCCTGAGGCTAAAAAGCCAAGAACCCCTTCTCTTTGACCCTCTTGAGCCTTTTAAATTCAGGAAGAGGCTTGTGTAACACTGAGCGTGAGCAGAAGGACAATTTTTTCCCGCAAAATAAATACTGACAACGTCGCTTTTTTTTTGAGGGCCGTCGTGTGGTTTGGGTTGAAAACTGGCATCGGTTTTCGCTGACATGTCGTAAACATGTGTGTTGTAAATTCCACTGAGGTCTGTATTGTTGTTATCGAGCTGGAGAACGTTGTGGTTGGAGATTGACCTGAAATACCTTCAGCTGAGCCTTTTTTAATTTTTTTTTTAATGTCAGATAACAAATGTGTCAGGTTTAATCAGAGGTTTATACAAGTTGCAAAAGGCGGATAGAATCTCTGGAATCTGCCGTAGAAGATGATTTTTTAATCCTCTGAAACCCAAAACTGGCAGATTGGTTTGGAAGGCAGGTTGTCTTTTAACAAAATGCCAAAATGACACCATTTATCAGAGTTAGAAACAATAAAAACAGAACCATTGAATTTTCAGGTTTGGCCACATTCATGCTCAATACCATACCGACACCAAATCTAATCGAAAAGTTGTATAACTGCGAAACAAAATCATAGCACATGTTGAAGACTTTGGGTTTATCTAGGGTCACTCAGTTAACCAAAGACAGTTTGTCATGTGGAAAGAACCTTCATTTTCTGGAGTCTAGTGGCTTTTCTGAACGTATACCTCAAGGGATTTGTTGGGTTTAGAAAGGATTGCAGAATGACGTATATCTTTCTTGTTCTAGTGTCTCTTTTTTTGTGTTCTTGCATACCTAATCTAATTGAAAAGTGGTGTAACTGCAAAACAAAGCCAAAGCACTTGTTAAAGAGTTGGGGTTTGTCCAGAGTCACTCAGTTAACCAAAGAGAGTTTTTCACATATAAAGAACCCTGGTTTTCTGGAGTTTAACAACCTTTTGGGACGTATACCTTGCGGGATATGTTGGGTTTGGAAAAGATCACTGAATGACATAAAACTTGAAAACAAGAACCTTTGTTGTTCTTGTTCTAATGTCTCTTGTGTCTTGTGCTTGTTGGTTACCAAGCCCATGGAAAAGTGATGCAACTGAAAAACAAAGCAATAGCACATGTTTAAGAGTTGGAGTTTATCCACAGTCACTTAGTTAACCAAAGAGTCTGTCATGTGAAAAGAACCTTCATTTTCTGGAGTTTAGTGGGCTGTCTGAACGTATACCTCAAGGGATATGTTGGGCTTAGAAAGGATCATGTTGAAGAGTTGGAGTTTATCTATGGTCACTTTGTAAACCAAAGAGAGTCTGTCATGCAAAAAGAACCCTGTTTTTCTGGAGCTTAGTGGCCTGTCTGAACGTATACCTCAAGGGAAATACTGGGTTTAGAAAGGATCGTAGAATGACGTAAAACTTGAGAGCATCTAGTGTCTCTTTCTTGTGCTTGTCAGGTACCAAACCAAATGGAAAAGTGGTGTAACTGAAAATCAAAGGCATAGCACATGTTAAAGAGTTTGAGTTTCAGGGTCACTCAGTTATCAAAGAAGGTTTACCATATGAAAAAGACCTTGATTTTTCTAGAGTGTCGCGACCTTTCGGGACATATATCTCAAGGGATATGTTGGGCTCAAAAAGAATCATAGAATGGCATACAATGTGAGATCTAACAAACCTTTTTCCTTCTCTTTCAGGTTTACAGGAAGGCGGTCGGTCAGATGAGCCAGGGCCTGATCAGGAGGCTGACGGTGCTCAGCCAATACGAGGAGGCGCTGGTCAAGATCAACGCCACGGCGGCCGAGAGGCTCACGGCTCTCAAGGCGAAACCTCAGGCGGCCATACAAAGAGACATGCTGTCCATCTGCAACGACCCCTTCACCGTCGCCCAGCAGCTCACACACATAGAGCTGGTGAGATGTTTTCTATTAATGTTTGTTGTTTTTATGTTGATCTATTGCTCTGCTGTCAAGGACGCTGCACATTGATCATCAGAAACCAAATGAATGAGCCAGAAGGCAAATTTTCATTCTGCATATCTTAAAAAAAAAACTCCATATAAATCATTTGTTTTGATGTGTCAAACCACATTAAGATTTAAATGTTACCCGGCAAGAAACAATCAGAATTCTTGCCAATGATCGACCAAAGGGAGTAAGAGCAGATCGATGCAACGTGTAACAGGGAGGTGGACCTGACATGTGTGATGGATGACAAATCGGTGTGGTGGTCGAGGCAAACCGAACACCTCGACTCCTCCCACGTCCGACCTACGGCGACATTGATTTTAAACAGCGGTGTTTGACCGCAGCTGTATATTCATGAACATGTCAGTTAACAAATGTGCCACTCTGGGAAAAAAAACAGGGTTTGATCAGGGGTTTGTATAAGATCCAAAAAGAGGGAAAAAAAATAATCAGGAATCTGCTGTAGAAGATGATTTATTATCTGTATGAACCCCAAAACTGGATGGCAAGTTTGAGAGTCGTATTATCTTTTACCAGTTGCCAAAAATACACAATCTATCAGAGCTAGTACTGTCAAAACTGAAAGAAGTAAGTGGGGATTGTCAACTTTTAGACAGTCTTTGAAGTAATCATGTGTGACGTATGGATCCACCTGGGAAATGAACCAAATCTCAGCTTCCAAGTCACATTATTCTACATGTCTAGTTTTAAAAATTTGCCTAAAATAAACTGCACACATTAACTAGATTTTGTTCAAAAGAAAAAAAAACCTGTGCTCCTCAGTGCAACCAGGAAGCCTTTGGAAACTTGGCTACAGCAAACTGTCACGTGACAAAAATTCTGGGACGTTTTGGCTGAACTGCAGGCGGTGTATATACAAGTGTGTAAAAAATGTAAATAGTTAAGTGTCTTTTTATTAAATAATGGATGTGGGCCGTTAGAAAAATGTTGCACTTGTTGACTTCAGGGTTTTTTTTGTGAAATAAATATCAACGTTTATTTGTTCTTTTTCATCGTGTTGAATCAATTAACAAGCAGGGTAAACCATCTGCATGAAAGAACTTTTATTTTTGCTTTTAATGAGATGGATTCAGTGAGGTAATTTATTTCTTCCTTTTCAGGAGAGACTGAGTTACATCGGACCTGAGGAATTCGTCCAGGCCTTCGTACAGAAAGACCCTCTGGACAACGATAAGGTAACGTCTGCATGCTTTTCTAAGAATACACCAAGCAGATAACATGCAGCAGTTATGCAATCTTTTTTTTTTTTTTTTTTGGCTCAAGTCCTGCGTGCAGACCTGATTCGTCTCGGTCTGCTGTGGGTCAGAAGCCAGACGGCCTACTTTCTCCTCCAGACGGATGTTGAGTTTACACTAAACAGTAACTCGGGTCAGAGCAAGGGCAGGTGATTTCCAGACGGGAGCCTCAGACCAAATATCCGCCGCACACCTCGCTAGCAATTTCCCCAAATCATCCCGGAGTCTGGATTAGATGGGCATGCATGCACCTCGTCTCCTAGCAACCGCTGTTTGATTCGGGCGGCGGGCTCCTCTTGTCTGGCGTTTCGGCTGCTAGGCAACAAACCCCCTTTTTATTTTTTTTATGGAAGCGAGGTGATGGAGGGGGTTAAGGCCGCCTTTGTGCCTCGGGCTAGCTCGACTCGTACCCCCAACGAGCCACTTGAAAACATGGGAGTAACTCGGAGATGTGGCGGGAATCACTACATGGGGGCGAGTGGCGTAAGGCCAGAGGAATGTGTGGAATTAGATCAAGAGGAGTCCGCACAAAGAGCCAGCATGCATAATGTGAATAACACGGGCCGCTATTGTGCTTATAGCAGCAGAGTGAAGCTGCACAGGTCCACTTAGCCCAGAGTTTATTTTTTATGCTCAGTGATGCATCGACTGAGAGGGAAAAAGAAAATCATCAGCTCTGTTTTTTTTTTTTTTTGCTGTTCGGCACTTTTTTTTTGCTTTGCAATTAAATGAAATGCTAATTGAAAGTCTGTTGTTGTTGCTGCAGAGCTGCTTCAGTGATCACAAGAAGGCCAGCAACCTGGAAGCGTACGTCGAATGGTTCAACAGACTGAGTTATCTGGTGGCGACAGAGATCTGTATGGTGAGTAATGAGAGGAGAGCCAAGGTTTAACTAAACCTCAGTGGAGGCAGAAGGATGCCAGGACTGCAAATACACATTGTTCAAGTCATTTAGGTGACAAAATGCCCCTTGCATGTTTCCAAAGCAACTCAAACATGGTCACTTTGGATGTGTTGTGCTTGATAGATGCCTTATACTGTTTAAATAACTCTTTTATTTGCTGCTAAAGGCTGATAAGAAAAAGTCCAAAATTGTGGATGCAATCATGCAGCGGTGAATAAAAAGTGACTGAATGAGTCCACAGTGTCCGTTTACATCGGTGTCAGATCTGAAAGGCATTTTATTAAAGTAATTTAAATAACAATAATTTTAAATACGTTAAAATGCCCCGTGCAAGTTTCCAAAGCAACTCAGATGTTTTTAGTTTGCAAACATTCTCGCATATGTTTGATATTTTGTTTGATAAATTCCTTTTTTATGTTTCATTAACTAGTTATTTTGCCACTACGGTTGATGAAAAGATTAAATAAAGTCCAAAATCACAGGTGCACTGGTGAATAAAATGTGGCTGAACAAGTCCACAGCGTCCAGAATCACCCAAACAAACATACTTTTGCAAAGAAAAGAAGAAAACAAACCTCTCCAAATGTACCATAATGTGCAGGCGAACTTTGATAATGATTTCCAGCAAACACATTTAGCAGCTAGCGCGGCCTAATGCAGTTTTTTAATGTTCTCCATTTTGCCAACAGCCTGTGAAGAAGAAGCACCGGGCTCGAGTCATCGAGTTCTTCATCGACGTGGCGCGAGAATGCTTCAACATCGGCAACTTTAACTCCCTCATGGCCATCATTTGTGAGTTCTTTTAGACTTTTGCTGCATTGTTACACAAAAACACGCCAGAAGTCTCAGTTTCTTATTATTGTGATGATTAAAAAGCCAGCGATTTGTAGGGAAACGGTTTAGGAAGTGATCTAAATGTCCATCGTCTCATTCTGCATGTTCCTGCAGAAAGCTTCGTCTTGTGGTCGTCGGTTAATCCGATCAGTTTGTTAAATGCAATTTGTTGTTTCCTGCAGCAGCGTAATCTTCCTCCCTGTGACTCGGTTCGTTTCCACCTTATGTAACTTTGTAATGACACAAGTGAAAGCTGGCAGCAGAGAGTTTGTGCAGATAATTGTCTGGATTGAAGTTGTTGTTTGGTTGGACTTAGTTTGTGGTTTTGTGGCGTTCTACTGCGACACTGTGCTGCTTACGTTGAGTCTTTTGGGTTGTAAATATTCCCCACAAAAGGTGCATCTTAGAGTCATTTTGTGACACCAGGTCTCTTTGCTTTTCCTGCTTCTCTGCGTTTCCCACAGCGCGACTAAAGAACAGGTGTAAACTGACGGAACACAATAATCAAAAGCCACCAGTTGCTGAACATGAGCTGCGTAAATGATCGGGTTTCCAGTCTCGCCTCTGCTGAACTGTGAGAGCGTTGTTTTCCGGTTATTTGAGGCCACCGCGAGCAGAGAAATTGATATTTTTTCTGCCTCTTCTGGATGATTTCTCTCTGTGTGGACTGGCTCAACCATCTGAACCTCGAAAAACCTGCCGACAGGTTTGAAAGACACGTTATTTGTAAAGAAAGACAATACCAAAATAACAGTTTATCATTCTTCAGCTTTCCTTAAACTACTCAGCAGATCCAGATATAAGCTCAAAACTGTGACATTTCACTTAATTCTATATATTTCGTATAAACAAAATTTTCAAAAATCAACCATTCGCACCAACTGGATTCTGTACAAAACAAAATATTTTGTGCTCCTCTGTGCAGCCATGAAGTCATGAGTGACTCAGATGCCACTGACAGTCACATGACAAAAATTCAGGGAGTTTTCAGCTAAACTGGGTCGAACTGCAGGCGGATAGTAGACAAGTATGGAAAGAAATTAAAAATATAAGTAGTGAAATATCTATAAATATCTGTAGTGTGTAGAGTCACCTTGGAAACATGTTGGACATGTGGATTCTAGGTTTCTGCAACTTATTTTAGTAAATAATCCAAGTAGTTCAACTTTAGGTTTTCTTGTTTAATGATTTATGACGATATAACTGTATCATACAGCGTACAAGGCATTGTGAAGTTCTCTCTCCTTCTAGTCGTGGTTGTTCTGGTTCCATAAAGGTGCAGGACTTTATATTGTTGTTATTATAAAACATGACAGGAACTAAGAAACAAACAGAAACTACTCTGGGTTCAGAAGGTTAAGCAGCTTCCAGGTGCCAAATAAGATTTAAAAAATGATTAATCTAAGCAAAACTGCTTAGACAAAGACCCACGTGGAGCTGAAAAGCACATTAAAAAACTGTGGAGACGGCGCTGTGGGTCCAGAGGGGATCCCAGAGTGTTTGTGGAGAGTCCTGGATCTCTGTGACCAGAGCAGAAAGGGGGGAAGGAGAGCGAGCATCCAGGCAGATGGTCAGCACTGACCAGGGAGAGTGTTGGTACACTGGGGGGAGGATGGGAGGCTGAGGGGGTGAGGAGAGGAGGGAGTGTTGGAGTGCCAGCTGTCCTCCTCCCCTGAGAAAGCCACAGGCGAATCTCTCCACACCGGCCTCGTCTCCAGGGAACCGGCGGGTTAGAGGCTGCTGGGGATGCATTCAGACGCTGGTTCCACCCAAACGCTGATTCTCTTGTTTACCTCCAGCTCCATCCAGGCTGCCAGGTGGAGGTTTTTAGTCGACCAGGTTTAGAGATGTCTGGGTTTTCTCTTAATCCCAATCAGATCTGATCAAAAAGCAACCAAAGGACCAAACTCAATTGGGAAAGATAATTAGACTGAATCCAGAGAACACAAAGTCGAGCTTAACAGGCGATTGGTTACTGTCACCGCCAATTAATCTGTCAATTCATCAATTAGTCGTTTGGTTTATTCAATGTAAGAAAAAGGCAAATGTCTACCGGCATAGAGAAGGAAGACAGCCGGAAAATATTCACATTTAAGAAACTGAAATTAGAGAATTTATGATCTTTTTTCTTTTAAAAAATTACTCAAGCTGACGGATTGGTTACGAAATTAGTTGGTAATTAGATAATCGTTGACAACTGCTGCCGATCAATACAAAATTAGTCACTTTCTATGAAGCTTTTTCCTGTAACTGCGTTCGCGGTCGTTGTCATGTTCAAACCTGCAGTAACCACAGATAGAAATAACATTAAATAGAAACCTCAAAATATTCACATTTAAGAATTAAAATTTTTTGTTGCGACAGAAAATATAGTTAAATCACATTTATATTCTGTAGAAAAAGAGAGAAATTAGCTTATTCATATATAAGAAGCTGGAACTGGAGAATTTTGGCTTATTTCATTTCAGTTCATTCAATCCCAGAAGAGTGGCAGATTTATTTATTAGTGGACAATTAAGCTCTAGAAAAGCCTGCTGATATCTAAACCAGAGGTATCTGCATGACTAGACTTCTTTATTTACTCTAACAGTATATTAAAGCTCCCATAAAGGAGGCGTGTGTGTCCAGCTAACACCTGTCAGCAACACAACACTGGCGTCTTTGTGAGTCTTGCAGAGCTGCTTCTGAGGCCAAACACGTTCGCCGAAACGTCACATAAAAACCCCAGAAGCCGTCTGAAAGTGAGCTCAGGAGTAAAGGAAATAAAGAAGCTTTTCCATTCTGATTTCTGTTGATATTTCTGCGCGGTGGTTGTTTTTGTGACCCCCCAGATGCCTGGAGCATGCTGAGGATTAGCATATGGGAAGCAGAGCGCTGGGTGGGGAAGCCAGGCGTGTGTTAACTCCATTGTTTCCTTTTTGGCCTTCGCTGCATCGCAAGAAACAAGGGGAAGAAAGAGAAGGGTGGAGGGGGGATGTGTGTCTGTCTGGCTGAATGGGAAAAGGCCATGTGTTAATGCGATCATGTGTGACATCTCTCTCACCGCCTTGTTTTCTGTGTCTTGCAGCTGGGATGAACATGAGTCCGGTGTCTCGGCTCAAGAAGACCTGGAGCAAAGTGAAAACGGCCAAGTTTGACATCCTGGAGGTGGGTTCTGCTGCTGCTGCTGCAAACGTGGATCTGAGCAGAGAGTCGCAGTGACTCACAGGTTTCAAAAAAGTGCAAAAGAAACAATGGCAGTCGATGCGTTTTCCAGATCTCAGGGCCAAATAATTCAGAGCTGCAGCAACTAATCAGTCAGCTAAGGAAAAAAACAGGTTTGAGTACGTTTTCAAGCAAGAAAACTGTAAATTCTCTGATTTCAGGTGAATAATTTCAGGTTTCTTTCCTCTTCTTTGAATATCTTTTGGATTTTTGGACAAATCGAGACATCCTGATTAACATTTTTCACTATTTTCTGACATAACAGCAAAAAAATATTCGAATAATCATGAAAATAATAGAAAGTCATTGCAGCTCCCAAACAAAATCGATGTTCTCCGTAAAATTTGTGCAAATAACTCATGATTTCAGGATGCCAAAAGTTTTGTCTTTACCCAAAACACAGCTTTTTTTTTTAAGGTTATGCAGTAAAAACATTTTTCTACCATCGATCGGCTTTTTTCGGTGAAGAAGTTGTAGTACCAAACACAAATAAAATAATCCAAAGCAATGAAAATCAGTATTAATTGCAGCCACAGTAAGAAAATATTGATGCTCTGATTGAAATATGTGCGATTACTAAACATTTTGAGATCCAGACGGGTTTTACTTCACCCGAAACATCCCTTTATCCAAGTTTTCTTTTTTGAGGTTATTCAGTGAAAAAGTCACATTTTTCTGACATCGTATCAGCTTCTGTTTTATTGAGGTTTGAGTTTTTCCAAAGAAAAGAAAAACAAAAAGTGAAAACCGAACAACTAATCAATTAATCAAGAAAATAATCGACAGTAATGCAGCTCTAGTAAGAAAATATTTCTCTTTTGCTTGAAACTTGTGCAACTACTAAACATTTCAGGATGCTAAAGAACTTTGCTTTACCAAGTTTAAACAAGTTTTTTCAAGATTAAATGATAAAAAAGTGTCATTGCAGCATATTTCTGTCACTAAATCAGCTTCTTTTGGTGAATACGTTTCATCGAGGTTCAGTTTTTCATAAAACGCCAAGAAAAGTGCAGAAAAATCATAAAAATGTTGATCAAGTTGCGTATTTTTCACGTGCTTTCTTTATTGAAGATGGTCGTTCTGGTGTTTGTTCATTGCCAAAAGACTGGATTTAAATCTCTACAGCAACCAAAAACTTACACAAAACCAACAGAGGTGAAGGCAGGATGAGAGAAAAAGAGTCCAGCCGCCAGATTTCAGGTGTAACTTTGGTACACATCAGAGCTCCTCCCTCGTCCCTGAACAAACTCTACGAGCTGCACAGAAGCCGTTCAGTGAGCCCGGCGGACCGACGGTGGCTCCTTTTGAAATGAGAGATCTGACGAGATCCTCGGCGGGACCCGAGAGCTTTTATCAAAGACTCGAGTTCTTTAGGTTTCCGTCACGTCTCGGCGGAGCTCATCTCTGTCAGTGACACGCCTGCCTGATGAGTTCCTCCGTCCTGAAGTTTCTGCAGTCATTTGCTGCCCTGATTAGAGTTAATTCACTCACAGATCCCATTTATCTGACAGTTAAGTCGCCTAATTGTCTTGGTTCATCCACAACCCAAAGATATTCGGTTTACTGTTGTAGATGAGGACAGAAACCAGAAAATATTCACATTTAAGTAGCTGGAATTAGAGAAATTAGACACTTTTTCCTTTAAAAAAATATCACTTGGTTCCCAAAATAGGTGATTAATTTAATACTTGACAATATCTGCAGATCAAAATATTATTATAAGACGCTTTTCTGTAATTATCTGCAGGTGAATGTTTCTTGTCATGTTTAAACCTGTTTGCAGCGACAGCCACAGATAAAATAGAACTGAATAATATTTAAATGCTGCATTTAAGAAGCTGCAATCAGAGAATTTTTTCTTTTTTCCTTAAAAAAAAACAAATAAAATGTTTATTATTTGGGGCAAAGGATTAAATATCGTCACCTTAGTGAAACTGGAACCAGCGAATGTTTGATTTAAATCATGATGTATTTATGTTTTTAGGTAGCTGCTGTTTTTTGTCTGATCGTTTTAGATGCACATTTTATAAAATTTGCAAACTTCAGATTGTCTTCAGTCTGTTCAGTCCACGTCGTCCTCGTCAGATCGTCAACTTTCAATATCATAAATACAATTAAACATGTCGCTTGAAGCCTGTTAATCCCAAATTAATGAACTTGTTCTCAAACTAATCCTGTTTTTTTTTTCCCCCCCTCTGCAGCACCAGATGGATCCTTCCAGTAACTTCTACAACTACAGAACAGCGCTGAGAGGAGCCACGCAGAGATCCATCACGGCCAACAGCAGCAGAGAGAAGGTGAGGGGAAAATATATTTAGATATTTTACTACTAAAACTCCCTGAATTTTTGTTACGTGACTGTTACTCACAGCTGAGTCAGTCACAGCTTCACAGTTGTGCTACAGACTGCAGAATTTTTTTATTTTTAAAGAATCTGGTTTCGATTTATTGTCGGGGAATTTTTGAATGAGACACGTAGAATAAAAACATCATGATTACAAGCTGAGGTTTGGTCAATTTTTCAGACATGCTGAGCTCGTTTTCTGCAGTTTCTGTTTCTGATCAATGGTTTAATATCAGTGATTTATTCATCTATTGAATTTAAATAACACTCCTTTCAAACGCACCAGCAGCTTGTAGAGTTCAGAGGGTTGAATGTTGTTTGAGAAATCAGGTCAAACTCCTGGATGAGTTTAGTCTGGTCAGTGGGACGTAATAGAGTCCACAAACCATTCTTCTGTCGTGACGCAGCCAGAGACCAGAATTTATATAAATCACTGCAGTTTGAACATGTGCACTCCAGACGCTGGTTTACGTTTCACGCGTTTTGTTGAAACTCACGTCCAGAAGCCCTCAGAGTGAATAATGGATCTACTGACTGAGTGTTCTGCTGGAAACCACTTAACAGCTGCAGTGAACTCCTGTTTCAGGATAAGTTCTCTGACCTCCTGAACAAACTGTTGTCAACTAGTAAACTAATCACCAGATATGTTGACAGTCGGGCGATAAGTTTAAGTAGATTTATAAGAAAGAAAACTCACATATGCTCCGATTTCAGCTTTTGAAAAGTGAATATTTTCTGCTTTCTTTCCTCTTCTGTGACAGTAAACTGAACATCTTTGACAAAATAAGACATTCTGGTCGACATTTTTCACCATTTTCTGACATTTTTCATATCAAACAACTTGAAACTTGTGCGATTACTAAACATTTCAGAAAGCTAAAGGACTTTAACCAAAACATACCTTTTTTTTCTAAGATTATGTTGTAAAAAGGTCACATTACAACATTTTTCTATCACTGAATCAGCTGCTTTTGGTGAATAAGTTTCATTAAGGTATTAGCTTTTCTAAAGACACCGAGAAAATGTGCAGAAAATAAGAATCAGGAGATAAAGGAGAGCATTGCTCTCTGCATTTTCAAAGAAAAATGAAGAAAATAAACCAACATTTTGACTTTGGTGTAGATTTTTCATGCACTGTTGTCAGATATTGTGATTGTTGGTATCCATTCGTTGCCAAAGGATTGGATTTAAATCTCAACACCTCAAAACTAAATCTGGAAGAAAAGGAAACTATTACAGGAATAAAGGAAAGCATCGTTCTTGACATGTTTACAAAGAAAAGTGAGGAAAAAGAAGATTAAAAAAAATGATTTCATACAGGTTTTTCATGAGCTTTTGTTATTGAAAATTGTCGTTCTTGATTTCTATTCATTGCCAAAGTGTTGGGTTTGAATCTCTGCTGCAGAAAATCTCTGTATAAACTTGTTCCAACAACCAAATCCATCACACAACCGCGAGGATGTTGGTTTAAATTTCATGCACTAACATCCAGAGCCACTTATAGTGAAAAATTGGGATTCTTCTGACCTCCATGTCCTGCTAAAAATCCACTTGACCTTCCGCTTTGTGACCTGTGGGTTAGGGTTGGCCACAGTGATGCAGGGACGCTCGGAGCTGATTGCAGTTATGTAAAAGCCGGAGATGCTTATCTGAGCGCCTTGATGTTGTTGCGAAGCAGGAAAACAAACCGCTGGCTCTCGTTATTGTCCCTCCGGAGGCCTCGTTGCATAACGGCGACGCTCGAAGGGGGACGCCGAGGTCAACCGCAAGTGGGTCAAGATGCGAGGAGGGTCTCGGTTTCCTGCTCGTCGGAGTAAACATGGCCGGTTGCCAGATCACATAGCGTTCTCCTCGAGCCGCTGGTGGTCGGCCTTCGTCACCACACGTCCAATAAGTGTTGTTCTATTTAATGGAGACACAGTGTTCTGGCAAGAGGCTCCCTGAGGTTTGTGAAGGATGGTTTTTATTTTTTTTTTTTTGGGGAAGCTCAGATATGCAAACATTCCAGGACAAGAGGTCGAGGTCACGAAATGGAAAGTTCCCAAGAAGTCTGGAACGTCTGGGCTTCTCCTTTTAGGGAGGCTGGACGTTTGTTTACGGCTCCTTCAGACTCCGTCGGTTTCAGGGACACTTGTTGCTGCGTTGGTGCGTTTTTCGGTGTATCTGGTGTTTGGTTGTGCAGCAACGGCTCTGTGGGACATTTCACAAAGAGGAATGTGGAGGTTGTTCCAGTTTATCTGCGCTTACGTCACATGTTCTGCTTGTTTTAATCAGACTTGGGCAATAAACTTTAACGGATGGATTATATTAGTGGTAATGAGCAAGTTGTGTGACATTTGGAAAAATCAGGGATTGAAAAGTGCCTTACAGAAGATTACAATCAAAGATTAAGATGATTTATTGTAAGAAGAAACTGAGCTAATAAAAAAAATATGGTTTCTAAGAACTATGGTGGTAATTTATAGGGCTGAACCATTCAGGGAAAATATCTTATTTAGATTTTTCTGGCCAGTATTACGATTTTAATTGGCATTACAATTTTTTTCAGCTCAATATTTAGAGTTTCATAAATTTAAAACATGTAGTGACGTATTAATTTATGAGATACAATAAAAAGAATAAGCTTTTTTTGGTATGTTAGTATTGAAATTCATACATTTGATTCAAACTCAATTGTTTTTTAGACCCAGGTGGTAATTAATATTTGCTTTATAGACTAATCTTAGCTTTGGGTATTTTTCTGATTTAAATAAAAAATTCTATAAAATTTATCTTACAAGTTTTTATCCCTTTTTTTTTTTTTTTTTTTAAAATAAAAAATTCTATAAAATTTATCTTACAAGTTTTTATCCCTTTTGTTTTGTTTTTAAGTATTTTAAAAAATTCTTATTCTATTAAAATTTTTATAATTTTGCGCTTTTTTTTATTGTTGCCTGTCTTATAATATTTGACCAACTCAGTGTTTTAAAATGTTTGTGAAAACTTTATCAAAATTTATTCTTAAATTTATGCTGTTCTCGACTAATCAATTAATTGTTTTGTTAAATCTTTAGTTTCAACCCAAATAGAGTAAAATAACTTAAATCAGCTGTTTTTGTTTTTTTATGACAACAACCTTCCACTAAAAGCACCCGGTAATAATAGCGTATGGATTTCCACAGCTTTTAATAGACGCTGTGTCTCGTGGAGGCGATCTAATTTTTGCCTCCGTCTGGCCCCTCGCTGTGAAAACTGCTTCCGCTCTGCAGTTTATTTTTCGCTCTCAAAGCAGAACACGTGTGTAAAAGACGTGAGTTTATGTACGACGGCAGCTCTCAGATCACAAATGCAGGCTGCTGCTTGTAAACGACATCCTGCAGACCCCTCAGCCCGCAGGCTCGGTGACTTTACTCTTAACTGGCCGTCACATCCACGTTCTGTCGCACAAACAGAGTTCAAGGAGAAACACATGAGGTGGACTCACTACTGGTCGGGCAAGAAAAATAAACAGAGCCTGCAGTTCAACCGGAAACTCTCAGAATTTTTGTAACATCACTGTTGGTCGTAGAAGAGTCAATCGTGGCTTTTTGGTTGCAACAAGGAATGTGGAATTTTTGTTTTTTGAAAGAATCTGGTTGCTGCAATCAGTTAATTTTAAAATGAGAAATGTAAAATAGGAAAAAAAAAAATCAATTTTGGATCATTTTTCTGACATGTTGAGTTCAAAGACTGTCGGAAAGTTGAAAATCGAAACTATTGCAGTTTCTGATAAATGGTGCAATTTTGGTGAATTTTTAGGTATTTTTAAATAACTTGGCTTTAGGGGGTTACGAGAGTTAAAAATATTTCAGATTGGAGCATAAAACATTGTGATTTAGGTTTGGTTCATTTTAAAGACGAATCAAAAATCATGATGCCTTCAGGGACAGTCGGAAAGTTCAGAACTCGATGATTCTTTCTAATTTGCAGTCTCTGTCTCGAGATTTTAACTAAATACCTCACAAAAGAACACAAATGTACTTTCAGAGCTCCGGCTGCTGGTTCTCCTGCGGTTTCTCTCCTCCAGCATCATGAATGTTTGATCATCTCGGGCGTGGATGCGTTGGGACAGTCAGGAACGAGGTCACTGTGCCGGTTTGGCCCTCGATACAAAACAACAACCGATCTGGGTGTTTATCAACCAGAGCAGCTGATAAAGTCCATATTTAAGCAGCCAGCTCGGCCTTCGGATGGTCGACAAATCCCAGCAGCTTAAAATCGAACATTATTTGAATGGAGTCTGGTGCCTCCTGCTCACCTTCCTCTACATCGTGCAGTGACCTGAATCACTGTGAGGCGATTAATTATTTAAGGGACTTTTTTTTTTTTTAAAGGGGAATTCTTCTTGTGCCCTTCGCTGCAGCTTTGCTTCTCCATTTTCAGTCGACACAATTCTGTTTTTAGGTCACTTTAGGTCGAGTTTCTGTTGAGAAAAATCTGCTTTAATATCAAAAAACAACAGAGCTCATCCTAAACATAAGCAATCCTTTGTCGAGTTTAATCCTTTAGATCTACGTTTATAAAGAGCACACACACCTGAGTCACATGGAAATCCCCCCTGAACACGCCCTCTAACTGAAATTAAATCCCTTTTGTCTTGCAGATCGTCATTCCTTTCTTCAGCCTGCTCATCAAAGACATCTACTTCCTGAACGAGGGCTGCGCCAACCGGCTGCAGAACGGGCACATCAACTTCGAGGTAAAAACTTGGAGTTTCCCCGACAACTGATGGCACAGTTTACCTTCCACAGCTGACTTTCTATGTCACCAAAACGTCACAGCACATGGCAACGGGGATGTTTATGAGCACTTCCCTAAAGACTGTGGAGAAAGAAGAAGCAAGAATAAAGCGCGTAATGTTCAGCTGCGTTTCCACGGAACAAACACACTGAACCAGTTTCCACTCGTGTTTGGTCACAGCGTCACTGAATCAGACGCTATTTTAGGGACTCCTTCTATCCTGGGAAACTCTGCCCTGCCCCGTTACGACACTTATTCACTATTTTTGACAACTAGAACTGCCACCATGTGACCATCTGACTCATTTGGAGCATAAACAGTATCTATATTAATTTAATATTAACCCGTGTCGTTGCTCTTTTGCAGAAATTCTGGGAACTCGCCAAACAGGTGAGCGAGTTCATGACCTGGAAGAAAGTGGAGTGTCCGTTTGAGAAAGATCGCAAGATCCTCCAGTACCTGCTGACGGCGCCAGTGTTCACCGAAGATGGTGAGTTCATGAACAAATGAGTGGCGATGAAATGTCCATGAGTTCAGACTGTCCAAATACAACTGACACTGCACAAATGTCAAACAACAATGAAGCCTCCATATAAAGTAGTAAAAGTAAAAGGCGACGCGACAACAACAGCAAACATGGAGGAGATTCATGTTGTTCTGCTCTGAATTTGAGTTTTCATTAAATTGGTGGGTTGTTTTTTTCCGAAGAGTTGCAGCAAACCAGATTCTTCCAGATTCCTGCAGAGACCGACTGTGACATAACCGCTAGTATTTAGCACTGCCTTCCTCAAAGTTTCTACGTTTTCGTTAAGTACAACCCTCCAAGCAGGAACTCTTTTTTTAGGGGGCTAAAATAACTTGCTGGGAATTTAATTTAGACCCTGGTCCCGGCAGTGGAGAAACTTCCAGAAGTAGAAAGCTTCTTGGACTCTGTCGAGTGTTTGCTGCATTTCTTTTTTTAACCAATCTGAGCAATATCTCGTCACATTTATTCGCTTAGTTTAATCTCAGGTGTTTTGAATCCACTTTGCTGCTCCTGCTGTGGGCAACCCTGAACCTTGGGTGCATGTTCTGACTTCCCCATAGAACTTTTTATAGGGTTGATTTAAGGGGAGAAGAGGTACCGATAGCGGGCTAGCTACTTCGTGTTAGCCGCCTTGAAAACTGGTGTTTGGGTCTAGATGCTGCTTGGTGAAACTCAGACAAATGCTGGATGGGTTAAAACTCGTAGATGACAGCGATTATAGCTTTTCTGAGCTCTTGATGTCTTGTAGCATTACCATGTTCAACATTTAATTCACCAAACAGACCAATGTAACAAACCCCCATTGTTCTGTTTCCTACATAGATCTAGCGTTACGTCCAGTAGCTACTATTTTGGTGCACTTGGAGTTAACGTCTTGATCAAAACTGGTTGGATTCGACGTCGCAATTAACACAGAAAGGCTCAAAGGTTTACAGGGACGAGCAGGAGTTGTTGCCTCGAGTAGCTGCAGTGGAACGCTGATGTTAATGCTACCTCCATGCTTGTTGTTGTTGCAGGGTTTTCGGTCAGTCGGTTTTGCATGGTCGTGCACAAAAAAAGTTTAAAAACATTTGCTTTTTCACGCATCCGTTTTCTATGTCTTTATACTACAATGACCCTTTGACGAACCTTTAATTCCTTAAAAAAAATCTTCCCGTGACTAAAAAGTTCCAGTTATTTTGGCTGGAAACAAGATTATTCAGTTTTTCAGGACGTCTTCAGAAAACTAACCTTGCTCGTCTTTCTCGTTGCAGCGTTGTATCTGGCGTCGTACGACAGCGAAGGTCCTGAGAACAACATGGAGAAGGACAGATGGAAGTCTCTGAGGTGTGTATAAATCCCCTCCTCCCCCCTTTTATCTTACTCCTCACACAAACTCACCCTCGGGGGAGATTCGAGTCCTTCAATCACTGCCGTCGCCCTGCATCCCCTCCCGTTTCCCCGCTGACCAGATAGATGTAGGTCACACTGGCGCTGACCTCTCACGCTATTCAATAAACGCATTAAACACACGAGCTCTCATCATTCTTGGCCGTCGCTCACGTAAAGGGACATCAGTCATTTTCACACAATTACATGCCACAATAACAGCAGACGTCGCGCGGCGCTCTGGATGCGAAGACTGATGGGAAGAAAAGCGTCCGCTGGCCGCTAACTCGCCCCAGAGAGCTGACGGAGGAAGATTTCCTCTCGGGTCAGCATCGAGTTTAATTGACACAAACTGAGTCAGGGATGTTCGGCTCCTCCAGAGATGGAAACGGGTCGTCCAGCTCAAGATCACACGTACATGAACTGCTCTGTAAGCCGTAAATCCTACTTTTGTGACACTTCTGCATGTTTAGTTTTTGTTGGTTCTGTCAGAATGGGTGATAATGGTGCTAAATAGAATGAACAAAACACTAGTAACACTTAATGCATCCAGTTTCACACCAACACCTGCTCGGACTTCTGAAAGCAGCAAAGTAAAAGTATCACCTTTTGTTGACAACATCAAAAAATATCTGGAAGCTTTGTAACAGTAGAATTTATAGCAACATTTGCAGCTTTGTTTCCAGAAAGATCCCCGATTCATGAGTTCTGCTGATTTGTAATCCCCAATTCTCTCATTTCAAAAGCTAAAGAAGATTTTTATATTTTTTTTAAACTCCCCATTATCTTTATAAATAATAGTGGCAATCTGTCTTTTTTTATTCTGAAAAGAGTATTTGCTTTTGAAAGGATTAATTCATTTTGCATGAAAAACACTTAACTATATTTGTAAAAGTGCCTAAAAAGACTTTTTTTCTTTTAATTAAAATCTAATATTTGCTAATAGACTGTACTTTAAAGATGAATTTAGCCTCCAACTATGAATGCAGAAATGTCTTAAACCTGCATTGTTTCCAACAGCCAGCAGGGGGCGACTGTCTGTAGGTCTGTATAGACATAAGAAAATAAACCTACTTTTCATTTTATTCATTACCTCGGTAAACATTTTCCTGATCAGTTTATGGTCCCGATCGCTAGTTTTAAGTCTCCTTCAATACGGCAAGGTTGTTATTTCATAGATTTTGGTCCAGTTTAGAGCAAAAAAGACGATAAAGAAGGGTTCGTTTTTGGGTGGCGTTACCTTATAACTGCTGCAGTGGCGTCTGTACCTCTAGGATCCTTGTGTTTACTGAATTATATGAAAAAGTGCACGACTTACTTGCTAACAATCAATACATTCTACTTAATTAGTTATTCAGTTCAGTAGGTTGTAGAAATGTGGTCCCTGAAAATGCAGCCTCCTCCACTCTCTGAACTTGAAGCTTCAAAACAGTCGTCCACAAACTGATAAGTGACGTTACGGTGGCTTTATCCATCCTTTATGAACAATCTGTGGAGCTGAGAAGCCGGACATTCACCTCAAGAGGTCGAGGAGAGCAAAATAGATCTCAAAAGAAAGCAAAAATAGAATACACAACTCCAAGTTAATGCAAAAACTGCTCTAAAGCTGGAAAAAAAAAACTATTATTGCAGCTTCAAGCGCTCTTAAAACAATAAAAAGTAGCATTTTGCAGCTGCCTCCTGTCACACATGATGGATTACAAAGGGAAAAAAAAGGCGGTTTCTCCACCTTGTTCCTACAAACACAACGCTGTCATGTAAAAATACAACCAGTGCTTATGAACTGGGATGATTCACAGCAGAGCAGCAGGTTGCCAAAACCAGACCCAAACCACCCACATGCGTGAATCAAATCTGCTGGCGGGGTCAGAGGTGAGGCGGGTTTTGGATGCTCAGCCTGGCGAGTGTTGGGTTAAGCTCCGCCCGGCTGAATCCGCTCGGTGTGTGTGTGTGGTCACGTTTTCTGATCGCCTGCCAGCCCTCCCTGCGTCCCCCCCGAGCTTTGCCTCCGCTGCGACGCGATCTGTCACTTTATTCCAGCCGAGCCTCGTCAGCAGAACGTGCTGCTCTGCTCCCAGAGATTCTGTCCAACATGGCAGCCGGCGGCTCGCTGCTCAACACGCCTGCACGCACACACACCGACGCTGTAAATACACCGAAAACAAACTGTTGCTATGTGATTCTGCAGGAGTTTAAAACGGCAAAATCTATTGCAAAATAACCTCGCTACACCGGAAACTGACCGTTTGTATTGACTGCAGTGTAAAAAAAAACTCAAAAAGGAGGCAAATTGGTAAATTAGCGTTTCAAGCTGCAACTTCAGGCTTTATAGATCTGCAAATACGGCTCTACTTTGTTTTTTTAGATGTTCACTGACAGTAAAAACAGTGTGAACAAACAAGAGTCTGGTTAATGACATTTGTGAGGTTTAAAGCCACAAATGATTTTTGCTTTTATGCAGAAATGCACATCTGAACCGTCTCCATCAAGAAATATTTGCAGACAAAATATCAAGTTGCCTAAAATTCTTGATTTGTGTTTTTAAAAAAATTCTGTGAAGATTCAGATTTTTGTTTTTTTTTATTGCAGGTTGACTTTGGGTTTAAAACTTAATTATTGTCATTTTTGCAGAGTACAGAGCTGTGCAATATGAAGACGTCAAATCTAAATAATTCCTAATATTAAAAGCAGCTTCTCGGCAGTTCAAGGTATTTTGCACTGGGTACACTGTGAAAAAAAAAAAACAGAGTCTACTTGCTAAATTGGAGTTTTAAACTGGAGCAGTAAACAAGACTCCTTTTTTTGTTGTTTTTTTAAGAATCAGAATCAAAAATACTTTATTGGTCCTCTAGGGGAAATGGCTTTCAGTTACAGATGTTCCCAATCAAAAGTCTTAAAAGAAGTAGGAAAGTAAAAATAATCAAGTATAAAGTATTAATGTGAAAATAAATATACATATCAATTACAGTAGCTGCATCCCACACTGTGCTGCTCTCATACTCACATGTTAACATGATCCATCCAGAAATATTAGTAGGCAAAGTCTGATTGGTCGAAAATTCTTGATTTGCTCAATTTTCTGCGACGGATCTGTGCAGATTTAGATTTTTAGAGAAAGTTGCGTTGAAGTTCATGAAGATTTTGCAGCGGGCCAAGCATTGCAATGTGAAGAAGTCCAATCTAAATCATTTGTCATTAAAATAATAATAATGCCACATGCGGTGCAGCTCTGGGGAACCAAAGAACTTCAAATCGCAATTAGCATCGATTACATCCAGGCTCTGAGTTGTTTCCTGTCAAATGCTAACGGTTTTGCATTCTGTGTCTCCACAGATCCACTCTGCTAAGCAGGGTCTAGACCTCGGAGGAAACCAGAACCCAGCAGGCGAGTCGACGCCGCTGTTGTCCAAACTCAGTATCCCCGTGTTGGAAGGGGAACGACAATCCGTACTTTGGCTGGCGAGGACTTTGTGTTCCCCCTCCGGCTTCAGATTTCTACCGAGCTCTGCTTTTCCCGACCCTCTTGCTCTTCGTGCTGTATATTTCAGGACAGCTGTTTTTCATCTCTTTGTACGACTTTATAGTCCTTTTGTTGTTTTGCTTTTCTAAAAAAAAAAAAGTAAAGAAGTAACGCTACAACCCTTTGCGGTAAAAGAGGAGGCGCGTTTTTGGTCCCGGTGAACCTCCCGTGAGCGTTCAAAGTTGTTGGGGTCGTTGTTTCCCCGCCGTTTTTTTGTGTTTATTTTCCACTGAAGCTTACGATGTTAGCCGCTGGTTGGCTAACGCTAACAGAAACGCTACTTTTTCTCTGGTTCCACAAGCCAGCATTCTCTGTACGGAGAAAAACCTTAACCCGCAACACTGTCCACCATTAAGCTAACCGTCGTTTGTAGTCACCTCCCTTTTTGTATCTTCATGTTTCTGAAGGTTTTTGTTGTGATGTGAAAAAAAAAAAAAAGAAAAATGCACCGGCTGCATTTGAAAAGAGACGTTTTGTGTTTGTATAAAGTTTCGTGGTTTTTCCGAAGCAGGGAGCAACGACTCACTCGAGGTCCCAGCGGGCTTTAAACGGACCGGGAGCTGTCGACTCTGCGTTTAAAGCCCGCCGAGGCCTCTAGCTCCTGATAATCAGTGTTAAATCGGCGCTCTAGCTGCCGACAAGTCGAGCTGTTTGGTTCCTGCTAGTGTAGAAAAGTGCGCGTGGTTGTGCTGCCCCCTGCTGGTCGCTTCACAGACGTGAATGAAATATCGTGTGGTTGAATAATGTGAACTGAGACTTTCTGTTAAAGCTTAGATTATATCCTTTTTTATTTTTCATATTATTAAAACACTTTTTTTCCTCCTTTATTTGTTTTATTTATGAACCTGTGTAGCCACATTATGTCCTCATGCCAATATTTACTCTTATTTTATTGTTATTTAATTTTGTACTAGGTACATAACACGCTTCAGTAGTCCTCAGATATTGGCTTGATTGTTATTATTATTTTTTATATACGTTTGTATGAGACACTTATTTTTCAAGGTTCAGAGTATGAAGTTGAAGATTTTTGACTGATGTCTGCTTCGCCTTGACTGCTGTTGTGGTTTATCGTGTACATACTGTACGTTTCTTTATTTTTCTCCTCCCTGTGTTCATTCATTTGTATTTGGACTGTTAAAATGGAATAGAGGAACCGTTTATACATGAACTAGTTGTGTTGAAAAGGCAAAGTTAATAAAAATCATGTTTAAAATGAACAAGTGGTTGAGTTTTGTTGAATCTTTGGTCAAACTTTTAGAATTCTTACCAGGTTGTTGAAGCTTTCTGCTGCATCAACCAGTGACTGTGGCTCATTCATCCTAAAGGAAGAAACCTGAGTTAAAGTTAAGTTTTATGTCAAGAACTGCTGAATCTCACACCAAAAAGTGAATAACTTTAAAAAACACAACGTGATTACCTGCACTTACAGTTCAGTCAAATATAATTGAAGTTGTTTGTTATTGCTACACGTCAAACTTACAGTGAAAAGATGAAACTGAATTATTAGAGAAAGAAAACACATTTGAGTTTGGATCAGAATGAACTTAGTGTGACACAGCTCAGAAAAATAATCAGTAAGAGCCTTAGATGGTACAAATAAAAACTCCAGCATTAATTAAAGCACCTTATAGGAAATCATTATAGTAACTTAAATCTGTGTTGTATTAAATACTGCAGTCTCACACATAAGAAGTGATGCAGTGATACCAGGGAAAACTTTTACTTTTGCAGATGCTTTAACTTGTAGTGGAGTATTTTTCTAATGTGGTTTTATTACTTTCACCTACAGTTGAAACCAGAAGCTTACATTCACCGTCTGACATTAAATCAGACTAAACTTTCCCTGTTTCAGGCCAGTCAGGATTACCAACATTATTTCTATTTGCTAAATGCCAGAATGATAAAAGAGAGAATTTTTTATTACTTTCTTCAAAGTCAGAAGATTACATCCACTAAGATGCCTTCTAACTATGAGGTAAAGCCCAGATGATGATGTCATGACTTTGGAAGCTTCTGATAGGTTAATTGACAACATTTGAGTTAATTGGATTCACACCTGTGGATGTATTTTAAGGCACACCTCAAACACACTGCTTCCTTTGGTGACAACATAGAAAATCTAAAGAAATCAGCCCAGATATGAGGAAGAGAACTGTGGACCTCCACAAGTCTGGTTCATCCTTGGGTACAATTTGCAGACAAAACCTGAACAGTAATCTTAGTGCATGTGAACTTCTCACTTTGAAGAAAGTCATAAAAAATTCTGTCTCTCATTATTCTGGCATTTAGCAAATAGAAATAATGTTGGTGATCCTGACTGATCTAAAACAGGAAAAGTTTCATCTGATTTAATGTCAGACGGTAAAATAAAATAAAAAAGGTTTTGTGTCTTTTTATACAGTGGATGTAAACATCTGGTTTCAACTGTCCATTAAGGATCCAAAAACTTCTACTTTACTAATAGTAAACACTCACGGGAACATTCAGCTGCAAAAATAATGACACAGTACTTTTAGATTTGACACATAAAGTACATTTTATAGGACAGTTCTGAGATTGTAACTGTGTACATAACTGTAAATGTAATTTCTCTGTAAAGGGATCAATAAAGGATTATCATATCTTATTTGTTCAATAAGGTTTTGAATGCAGGGTCTTTACTCATAAAAAAAGGGGTAATATTAGTACTTTCACTCAAATCAAATGAAGAATCTTAATACATCTCCCCCCATTGAAAACAATGTCATTACTGCTCAGTACAGGTTTCTGGATCCACTGTGATTTGCTGCTGTTATGACGATTCAGCACAAAGTGACACAAGCTGATAAATCTCGTTTATGGCAGTTTCAATTAAGTAACGTATCAAAAACCTAAAGAGCAACACTGCAAACCTGTTCGATAGCAAACAATGAGCAGCTCATGTACAGAAAAGTGGACTCACCGCTGGTTAAATGTGCTGCAGGTCTGGTTTCTTTGGAGTTTAAGACTCAGTAACAAACTGCATGAAAAAAATGACAAAGAGCTGGTGAGGTGACAGGAAGGTGAAGTAAAAAGCAGCCGTAAGCTGTTATTTAACACTAATAAAAAGTCCAAACCAGCACTAAAAAGGTCCATCTGTCATCTAATAGCATCAAATTAAACCTAATTCTAAATAATAAGACCTCTAATGTGGCACAAAGAGACTAAAAGTGATCAGTCAGAATGAAACAGGGGCCTCAAACACAACATTTTTCTTGAAGGTAAATCAACAAAATAATAAAGTGCTGTACGAAACAGAACAACAACAACAACAAAACATTTATGATCGATATTTGAGAGAATTAGTGAAGACAGACATTGATTATGTAATTGTATTTTCTGCTGCTTTTCTGCAGGAAGTCAGAAAATAAAAACATGTATTTGGCTCCACCTAGTGTCCAAAAGCAGTTGGTGCAACTGACAACAGCAGCTGGATTCAAAGGTGCTTCTGGACCAAAACACAAGCACCTAAAAGGGTTGTTAAGGGAAATAAAACTGGTTTTAAAACGACAATTTATGTCAAACAGTTAAACATCCTGCTGACGAACAATAATTTGTCACTACATGAATACTGAGACGCAGCAAGTAACTGGATTTGTTTGTGATTGTAGACACAAATAAAAGATTGCTGTGATTAATTGTGTTTAACATCTATTATGTAAAGAAACAACTGATTGTGTAATATAATAGTCTATTCATCCAGAGCTGCCGGTTATATAATCATAAAAATATGGAGCTCAGAGTTTAATGCAGTTCAAATGATCCAGAATATCTACATGCTGACATATAATATGATGCCCGTTTTTAAAAAAGAGGAAACGTGAAGCTCACAAACGCTCATGCAGCTGAAATCATGAGGCTTCTGTTTCATTGTTCGTCATATTGCTATGCCATGTTGCATTCATTGTACTGTTATTTGGCTCTCCAATTCATTTCTGTACTTGTCTCCTCTCTGCTCTGTGTAAACACTGTCTGCAGTTTAATCAAAGTCATTCTGTTTTTGTCACATGATTGTCTCATTTGAACCAAGTAAGGTAGGTTTTGGGATTTTTTTTTGATAGAATCTGGTTAAAATAACCACTTAATTCTTGCCTATTTTTTTTAAAAACAAGACTTAGAATAAAGCAATTCTGGTGAAATATTGGATTTTTAAGCTTAAATTTGGTTTATTTTCTGGGCAGAACCCAAACAAAAGTCAAAATTAATATTCTTTGTTTTCTGACTCCGATACAACACACATTTCAAACCCACCAGTGATGCACAAGGTTATATCGCATCTAAAACATATTTCTACAACAACAACAACAAAAAATCATTAGATGTTTGTTTGTTTTTTTTAAAATCTTAAACATGTTTTCTTGTAAACTCCTGAACAGCCTTTTACTTCCTATCTGGTCCAACCCAGAAATATGATACCAGTACACAGGAAGACGTAGTTTTGTTGTTTCACCTGCACTTCACTGTGGAGTTTTGATTATGAACTGCAGCACATCACTGCACGTGATCACGAATATCATCATGAGTAATTTAAAAGCATTGTTTTTAAATCAAAATCTCACCAAGAAGCACTAATTGTAGACTGATATGAGGTCAAGATCATGTCACGATGCTGCTAAACTAATGCAAAACACTGGAGAAGTTGTTTCCAGCAGGTCAGGTCTAAACCTGGTGCAGCCAAAGTGACTCCAAGTGTTCTGCCAGACTGCCCTGGAGCAAGTCACCGAGGCTCGGCTCAGGTTCTGGGAGCAGGGAGAGTCAGCTGAAGGCCCGTTTTGTGAGCAGAACTGTCCTCAGATCGTCCGCCAGCCTCTCGGGTTGCTCTCAGGCTGCAGGTTGGGAGGTGCTGACCTGGATTTAGGATTTTTCTGCGGACCGATAGCCGCGGATGAATCAGCTTTGGCCACCTGCCATCATTGTCCCATCGATGGAATGAGCTGCAGGCCAGAGCGCTCCGACCGGCGTCACAGACCAACGCTGGGAAAACCAATTAATCATTGGTGGTGTGATGGGCCGCGGCCTCCAGTCTAGACTTCGGTAAAAGTAAAAATGTAAGGCGACAGAGGGATTAAAATTAACAGATTAAAAGACATACTGAGCATTTTAACTGTCTTCCATACAACTCTACCAACTGGTCTGGAACATCCTGGTATCTTTAACCATCTGTTGCATTTTAAATCCAGTGAGTCAAAATTTAAGAAAAAAAAACTGTCAGATAATTGAAGTGGAGAAGAAAACACAAGATCTTACTTCATGCTATTTTACTTTATGTTAGAAAGCAGCACATAATAGAAATACTCAAGCACAAGTACCTCAAAACTGTGTTAAACACCTTCCATCACTGCTCATTATCGGTACTGTTAGATCACACATGATGGAAGTAAACCTGCTGACTGCACCACATCGTTACAACAGATTCTCTTCTGGTATTCCTCAAGAAAATACGAAAGCAAATATACTACATGAGGTATTTATCTATAAATCAGTAAAAAAAAACAAACTTGCTGATGATTTATTCTGCAAAAATAGGGAAAAAACCCAAAACAACCTGCAATCAACATGTGCAACACGTCCACAGGTGTTACCAAATGAATGTATCTACATTTACACAGTGAGTTAGAAGCAAACTCATTCCTGTGAAGCGCTTTAGCTTCTTTCAGCTCCTTATTTTGGGTTTCTAGCCTGCAAGATTGCAAGATTTAGCCACAGAAAGACGCTCGAAGAAACTCACGACATCCTAAAAGCACCAAACACAGTTAGAAAAAGTGGAAAAATAATCGTTTGTGCTTTCTGCATTAGTTTTGCTCACCTTATTTAACATGTATACTGTGTACTGGCCGTTCATTTATACATTATCTATATGCATAAAACTACACAGAGAAGAGATTTGTTTATATGTTGTTGTTTAACACTCTTTAATTTTTTGTAAATTGAAATGTACAGTTAAAAAACAATTAAATACAATTTTTCTAAAAACCCATCTCATCACATTATCCTTTTAAAGTCACTGCATATTAATGCATTCAAAATCACCTCTTGGGCTTTATCTCTTTTCAACAAACACTATTTGATTAATCTTCATGGTCCGAGACAGTCCTTGAGTTGCTTTAAGCTGCTTTTTAGATTTTCTTTACTCATACTTTAGCATAATTCTACATACTCTAAATGAATCCTGATATCACTCTGGATCAGCTGTGAAAAGTCAGATGTTATATTTACATCTTAGAGATTATACATCCCCCCCTAGTGGACAAAACACTTACAGCATCCTTAAAGTATAAACCTTGATAAAATGCTAAAACAAAATCTAATAAGAAAACATTTCCAGCAGCGTCACTGCTGAAAGCCGCAGCAGCAAAACGACTGAGTGCAGGTTTTATGTGGACATTGGAGGAAAACACTAAACCAGAAGTCTGGATGGAAATTTTAAGCATCTAACTCTTAATTTTCAACATTTTGGTGAACTTTTTCTGCACCAACTTATGATAGAATTTATGTCAAGAAAACACACTGAACTCAGGGATCGTGGGTTATTGTTACAGCAGGGTTCCTAAATAAAGTTTTCTGATCTAAATATTTAGGGATATTAAGAAATCTGGACCAAACAAGGTTCAGATTCACTGCGTATGAATTCAACTTTTAATTTATAGGAGCAATGCATTATTTTTTTATTGTAAAAGATGCATGAATTAACTTTAAAATTGAAGATGAAAGGTATCAATATTTATTTATTCCTGTTTGGATGCTTCTTTTCATCCGTGGTTCAACAATTCAGACTTAAAGCAGAAATCACTGTTTCCTCTACAACAGACGACACGTTTCATTCTAATTAGAGGTCAACTGATTAGTTTGTTTGGCCGATTCATTGGCATAACTTATAGTAGCTGATGGCTGCACCGCTGTTTTGTGTGGAGCACGAAACCACTAAATTAATGTTGTCCTTGTGTACCTGAGACATACACACACATTTCAGGTTAGTACAGAGGATACATTTTCATTTATATGAATCAGAATCAGAGAACTTTCATGAAGAAAAACTGCTATAATATCACCCAAAAACACACGTGCATGCAGAAAAAGTCAAAACTGGTGCATCAAAATTCACCTGAATCCTGTAAATGAAGCATCTGACAGTCAAATTCACCCACAAAGTTTAGACTAGACTGAGTTCATTTAGATTTAAATGACAGCTAATGTTACATAAAACAGCTTTATTTGTAAAATCTGGGCATTAGAAGGTTAGCTATAGTGGGAGATTTCTAGTGGATTAGACTGACGATACGTGAAGCTCTGCTAAATGGTGTCATTTCAAAAACTAGCAGCGAGTTTAAGGGTTCATCTGAAGACCTTCAAGGCCAAATAAATCACACAAAATTAATAGTTATGTCAAAAGGCTGCAAGAAATGAAGCCTACAACAGAAAGCATTCATTAACTTGCTATTTCTACTCCACCTTTGATGCTTTTATTATGAATTACGGAGCAGTTTTATGCTTTGACCTGGTGCAGTCTTTAAATATGATTGAGTATAACTTCCGACATGTCCACCGTGACCTCCAAATGATTCTGTCAAATGTGAAACCCGGAGCTGCAGGACGTCGCTGCATCACGTTTCAGGACGAGGTGGTGAAAAACTGCTGAGCGGAGCAGCAGACTGCACCGTGAATAATTTACTACATTTTCCAAAAGCATTACCTGACGTTCTTTTTTCATCTAAAGTTTCATCAGAAAGCAGCACAAATTGGGCCCAGATAACGTCTGATATCTGCCAAAAGCGTGACGATCATGTCGGCCAGTTTAATCAGCTACTGGCCTTTTTCCTGCTTCACTGGACTATTATTATATCGGCCTTTAAAGACCCATAATTGGTCAAACATGTTTTTTGTTGTTCGGTTTCTAGAGTCTAAAATAAACTGGGCAGACAGCTGTTCACGCCTGCTGCTCCCTTTCTACCCCGAACCGTCTGTAGTTGCATCTAAAAATGGATAAATTTGGTCTAAATTCTCATAACTGCCGCCAAAAATGATTGGGTGCTCCTCCTTCTGGCTGCAGCTCCACGTTCTATAAATGGAAAAGCACACCAAAAATCAAATGAGAGGCACTGAATCTAAAAGGATGCGTGTAATACGAGGATGATACGCTGCAGAAATTCTTGTTTGGGTGTGACGTGTGGCTGCTGAACAGATGAAATGGGAATTTTTTTCCACATTTATTTTAATCCCTTGGTTATTTGTGAGGGTTTTAGACAACTCCCGGATTGTTTTAAGACGCTGTTTAGCTTGTGTCAATGCAATCTTTTACACTCTTCTGAACAAAGATTAGAATGAAGTCTGGAGCTGAGCTTAAACTAATTGCAAAATTGTTAGAAGTACACTTATTTTAGCCTTTTACTGAGGTTCCTCCTGTACATAAATGAATCAATCAGTACAAAACAGGTGCGATTACACCTCTGTGCAATATCACTTAAACGTCAGATGGTTTAAAACTGTCACTGCTCAATAACTGCATTACTGAAGAATGGAAAATCTATGCTTTAGAAAGACTATACTGAAAGTACAGACCCCACAGTAGAAACTAGATGCAACAAAAGCGAATGCACCTGTGATCGCCGACACACGAGTTATAAAATTTGTGATTATAGAAACAAAACTGAGTGTGGCTAACTCAGTCTAACTACATTAACATGGTTATTAAATGAGCTGTGAATGGCTGAACTTCCAGAGTTCGGGACCTTTGAGCTGCATGTTTTCATCATGGCTCCACATGGAGAGAAACTAAAAAGAAAAAATCTGATTGTGAGACTTAATGAGGATAGAAAAGGATACAGAAAGATCAGTGAGCAACTCATAATCAATGGAAACACTGTGTCAGCAGTAATCAGGAGGTACAGAAGAAGCCATGGCACGGACAGTGAAATACTTTCAGAATCTAGACGTAAAAAAAAAAAAAAAATTTTTTTAAAAAGTGGGAATCAGCATTTGTATGACAGGTCAGATGCAGCAAAAGAAAAACAGAACTGCAAACTTTACTAAAGAACATTTAAAAAGAAGCGTGATGAGCGTTGGGAGAACGTTGTTTGATCAGATGACAGCAAAATAAATGTGTTTTGTTTAGATGGAGTCCAGTATGTTTGGTGAGAACCTGACCAGGACGAGCACAGTGGATGCATCGTCCTGACAGTGAAGCACGGAGGTGGAAGTATGATGATGTGGAGCTGCATGAGGACAAGATGATGTTTATAGACGCAGCATGAAAGTCTGAATATACTAAAAGATAGATGGCTGATAGGACGACTCCCAGTCTGCAGAAGCTTGAAGAAGATCATCTAAAGCAGCAAATCACACAAGAGTTTGTCAAGAAGACGTGGACAATGTGACCAGAACAGCTGACAAACATGGAGCTGAACAACCCTCCAGTAACGAGCAGCTGAAACAAAAACAGTCTCTGGAAAATGTCAGAGCATCTCTACATGACTGTGATATCTATCCTCCATGCAGAGGAGATCGAGTTCATCAACAAGAAATATTTTACAAATAAATTCAAAACAATTTACTGTTATTTTACAGATTTTACTTATGTTGTTAAATTAGATTATACCTTGTGAAATTAGAGATTATACACGTTAATAATCAAAAATACGGCCAAAACTGTCATGTCAAATAAACAAAAATCTGATTTTAAAAAAATAATAATAATTTTAAGAAATTATTTTATAGTGTGCGGCTGTAAAATTCAATATGTTTACAGATGTTTCTTGTTTTGTTAAATTACAGAAAATAAAGTAAAATTACAGCAAAAAATAATAAGAATTTACATGTTGACTCTAAGAAAAACTGGCCAAGACTATAACTTCCATTGTTTTACTGTATTTGAATCAGGTAAAAATAGAATTATTTTACAGATACTGGCCATTATTTTCACCACCTTTTACAGTTTTTGAATCTTACAGTATTTCACTGTTTAGCATATTTTTGCTGGCGACCTTGCTGCTGATTTCTTTTTTTCTTACATAAAAAAAATGTTTTTAAATTGTATTTGTTTTAAGAAACTACTGTTATTTTACAGTTCTTCCGCTCATTTATTTAATTGGATAATATTTGGTATCTTCTAAGAAAAATAGGACAAAACTGTACATAACGTTTAAATCAAAAATCAGTATTTTTACAAATAGTAATTCTTACTTTTACAATGTTTGATTTAAATTATGCAGCTTTTTTTGTTGTTGTTTTTTTACTTTATTTGCCTCTGCTGAAAATCTCATTTGAGACATTTGTTATTATTTGAAAGAAGAATTGTGCATTTTAAGAACTGAAATGTTAAAATGATGATTTAAAAAAAAAAAGCTGGTTTACAGGTTGTCAACATCAAAAATTTAATATTTTGTTGTTTTATAACAAAAATAGACTGAATGTTTTATTGTATTTAAATCAGCTAAAAAAATATTTGACCATGCTTTTATATTTATACATGTATTTTCACCATTGCACTTTTTTTAAAAGCTATTTTCACTTTTCCTTTTACAGAATGTGAAATATTAAAAATGTTTAATTTTCATTGTTATTTTAAATTTGAGTAGATTTTGGTTGCATTGAGTTCCTCCTGCAGCTTTGGTGTTTTCAACACAATTAGTTTAAACTGTTGGTTTAGATTTTCACATCAAATCAAACCTTCTCCTGACCATCTTAGAAATAATAAAGTACCTGCGGTGACGCATCATTGGACAGAGGTGTTGTCACTAATGTTGTTTACGGTAAACAAATCTACACATTCGGTAAATAAACAAAAACATCGGCGGTGACGTCACTCGCACCTGACTTGCCCTGTTCGCCGCGCGCTCGGGAGCGCGCCCCGGCACCGGAGCAGGACGGAGAGCGCGAGAGACACGGAGGGAGGAGAGGATGCGCGCGGTGCGTTGTTAGATGGAGCGGCTGTCTGCCGGGGCTCGGATGCGCACAAATATCATTCGGTTCTCCGTTTAGGTGTTTCAGGCTCGATTTGAAGGCGACCGAACAGGTGAGTACCGAGAACGTGCACCGGAGCGGGTCAGGTTTCACTCCGTCACCACCGGAGAATGACGAGGCAGCAGAAGTTGCAGGTGCACGAAGCTCAGAGACATTTAAATCAGTTTTTAATACATGAAATGACAGAGAGTAGAAATCTCAGTTATCAAAGAGTTAAAGCATGAAAAGAAGAAAACAGGTGAATTTGTGCAGCAGTTTTTCTGAGTAAGTTTCCAGATGATGGCTGTAGCTGTGGCTGTGAGGACAAAGTGTTGGTGAACAGACTGATGTGAGCTTCCATCCCAGCAGGAATGTCCTGAATGAAGCCTACTGTATGTGTGAGTGGGCGACAACAAACCACAGGATTGTTCTGCGACATTTCCTCCCATATTCACACTCTGAGCTCAACTTTATCCTCGCAGCTGTTTCTGTATTCCTGCTTTGATTTTACGAGCAGCATCTCGTCTCAGCGAGCAGCCCACAGTGACTCTTCATGTAATGCAATACTTCCTGCCTTCTGAATAATAAATGCCCAGGACATTGACCATTACATACTGATTTGCTAGCCGCTCTTTCCATCTTTCTCCGGTTCTCTCGGCTCACAGCGTCAGCTCTTTTGTCTGAAATCTCACCCCCGGACCTCTCAGTGCTTGATTAACTTTCCCAATCATTTCTGCAGACTGACTCTCTTTGTGTGCTCAGGTGGGAAGATGGGCAACGGTTCGATGAAGTCGAAGCGCTACAAACACGCCGACGGGTGTCCCGCTGCCTCCAACGGCCGAGCCTGCAAAGATCAGGGCTTCAAAAACCTGGATCTCCTGAGGGCCCGAGTGGAGGAGCTGGAGCGAGAAGGCAAGAGGAAGGACGAGGAGCTCAGCGCCAGAGAGCAGCAGATCAAAGGCCTCCAGGAGCAGCTGGCCCAGCAGACCCGAGTCCTGGCTGAGCTGAGCGAGGAGCTGCAGAGCAAGTGCATCCAGATCAGCAAGCTGCAGGACGTGGTGAAGAGCGGCGCCTCGGCCGGTCTGGCTTCACGGCCTCCGTCGGTGAAAGCCGGCGGGAAGAGCAGCCCCAACCTCAGCGTCCGCATCAAGGAGAGCATCAACAGGAGGAAAGGGGCCAAAGCTGGAGTGTCGGCAGAACCGACGTCCAGAACGTACGACTCCAGCAGCCTCCCCAAGTTCTCCTTCGAGAAGGCTCGGGTGCCGAAGGACGCCAGGTTAGACGTTTTCTTTACAGGAAGGTTGACAGGGTCGACAAGGTTGAGAGGATTAAATTAAAATTGGATAAAAGAGGCGAGAGCCGGGTAAAAGGTTCATGATCCCCTCAGGCTGCATCCATCCAAGCTTCGGTGGAGGAGATTTAAAAAAACTAAAGCAGCAGCAGCAGCAGCATCAGTGGGCGGGAAGTGGAAGGTGGGCAAAGATCGTAGTGTTGATGACGTGGAGGAAATCTGTTACAACAAAAACAGCATTATTCAGCCCAAAACTCTTCAGCTGCTGCTCGGGACTTCCAGCGAGGACCGATAAATATAGAAAATTTGCTGTTAAGCCCAAAATTATTTTTAGATTTATTGCAATTTGTTGTCCGACCAGAAGCTTCCTTCTGGCTGGAGATGACATAAACAAGTGACAAAAGATGTGATAGAGATATTACCAATGGATCCGAACCATTTCTACAGTTATTTTCAATCTTTTTACTAAATATGCCACATCTAAAATGATTCCTACTTCTTGAAATGAGCACTAGCTTTTGAGAAAATGCAGCTTCTATATCTAATGTTCCCAATAGTTTCTACACTGTTCTCTAATAGTATAAACTGAAACCAACTGATGCAGGAGTGCTCTGGGCAGCATCTTGGGTTGGCAGAATACAACAACAAAAAAGCACAAAGTCACTGCAAAAAAATAAAACTGCACTTCGTACGAACAAGATTGTAAAGTCTACCACATCCAAGAGTGTTCATGGTTCAATGGCCAAAGTGCACAAGTATATTCAAGAGTACAAGGACTTATAGACTTCGGAGACTCTTAAAGGCAAAAGTTGTACAGGTCTTGGGATGTCCGTATACTTTGGACCATGGAGTGCAGGTTTTCTATTCTAAACTAATGCTGCGAGGGTCCGTCACTGAGAGAACGTTGCTCCTCCCAAGATGTTCAAGGGTTTTAAAGCCACGTCTGAGTATTGTCACTAAGTACAAATAGTTCTACATTGTGGAAGATCTCAAAGAGCGTAACAGGAAGTTAAAAGTGAGCCAAGCACTGGTGAGAATGGTAGAGGCCAAGAAGAATCCAAGCAAATGTGAGCAGGTCTAGTAGCAACATCTCAACCAGACACCAAACAAGGAGGTGTCCATCGACGCAGAACCAACAAAGACTTCCTCAAGACAGACGCACAGTAGCTCATCTAGATGAAGAAAAGAAAGCTTCTTGTCATCAATTCTGCGGTCGGTTGTCGATGTTTGAACACAGGGACGAGAACAGCATCCAAAGAGTCAAACATTGTGGTGGAAATGTGACGTTTTTGGGATGTTTTCTACCGACGGACCACATAAAGTCCGTATAGATTCTCAAACATCCAGGTCTTGGTAATTCTAAAAGAGTCAGTAAAAATCAACTAAAACATGTCTTTGAGGTTCTTGAAGACTCTCATCCAAGAGAGACCTGAGGAAGCCTCTTGGATGAGAAGTGAAAAGAACCTAAAAGAGAAGTTTTTAGTTGTTTTTTCCGAGGACTTGTCAACGCAAACGGCGTCGTTAGCTCGGCCTCGGGCAGCATCGGAGCTTCCAACAAGACAACGATGTGAAACGTGAAGCCAAAGTGGAGAAGAAACGGTGGAGAGAAAACAATAGGAAGGTGTTGGAGTCCAGACCTGAGTCCATGAAGACCACAGTGATGGTGAGGAAGCCTTTAACCTCAAAGACCTGGAGACCATCACCAAGACGAACATAACCCTCGTGGCAAATACAGGCTTTGACATGGATTGTGTTAGCGCATTAGAATGTGGTTAAACATGGTAGAAGTTACTGGGAGCATTTGTACTGGTATAAAAGCTGCTTATTCACAATTTATTCTCATTTGTGACCATTTCAAAGGGCTCTGAATAATTTTTAATGTGGTATTTTTATTAAAATGTAAAAAAAAAAAGGGAAAAAAAAGAATTAAAAATAGCTAAAATTCAACAACAACATCTCTAACTCATTTTACTCATTTCTAGTGATTAAAACACCTTTTGGTCAAATATAAATGTCTTAGAAATCAAAATGTATAATTGGAATTATTATGGCTTAACTTCATATGTAATGTGTTTCTTCATGAAGTTTCCATTTAAGTAGTTTATTGGCCAATAAAGGCAAACATTCATTTTAAAAACCCATTTGGGGATTTATCGTCCAGCGTCATTGTTGATGATGGGTTTGCATAAAACTCCTTGAAGCCGAGTTCAAAAAGTTCATGAAACCAGCCTGAAGCCAGCTGTAGCAGCAGAAACGGGTATCATCTTGGGATATCTGTGTGTTTGTGGTCACGTAATGCAGGTTTTTAAATTCAAAATTAATGGCAAAAGAGCCAACAGCATGTTTTTTAATATTAAAACTGAGCAATTATCTCCGTAGCAGCAGCTGTAAACATTCATAAATCAAAAATTAATCACAATAAAACAGCCGCTCCACCTCAACCGTCACATCAAATTCACTTCCTCCTCACTTACTCCACTGATCTATGCTTCATCCTTCAGTGTTTCCGCCCCAACAAAAAGCGCAATATGTCAAATTAAAAAACAAAATTGATCTGAAAACGTTTTTCTCGTAATGAAATAAGACGACAAGTCGGTTTGACGTGATGGGTAAAAAAATGACTCAAACAGGCAACAAATTAAGAGAAAGGAAGCAAAACTTTGAGCTTATGACATGTTTTCTCTCTTATTAGAACTGAAATGATGAGCATTGAGATTATTTTATTTAATCTTTATATGACGTAGGTTTAAAAATCAAGAAAGAAGCTTCATTATTCGTACTCACAGTAAACCCGTTTCCCCGTAAATGAGATTAAAAATGGGTTTAAAACTTTTAGTATCTTTTGTTGCCTCTTGTCAGTTGCTCCTGTTGCCTGTAAATTAGATTTTTACTCACAGAAATATTATAAAAATTACTCAATAATCTAATTTTCCATTTCATTATTTGAGCTTGTGGTTGGACCGTACCATTAGCAGCTGGGGGAGTTTACAGAAAAATGTTCCAATATGTAATATATAGTC